CTGTTTTCCACAGAGCCGCTCCTCTGTGTGGGAGTGAATCCAGAAACTATCGACATTAATTTGGAGGCCGCCGTTGTCTCGGCATCAGAGACGGCGACGGCATTAACAGCAGGTGAGCCAGCCTTGAGCTGCGGACGAGGGTCAGGCGGCTGCGGAAGAAAGGAAACAGAACGGACGCAGCTCAAATAACGGGGGAAATGAAAAGAGGACCCGGCCTTTGAAACGGAGCGATGCGAATGATAGAGAAAGGAGGCAGCGGGAAGGAAGACACCCTTTTGAAGAGGAAAAGTTGCACAGAGAAGAATGGACGCTTTTCTCGATAGGAAGAGAGGGGAATGGAGGGAGATCAGCTTGGCTGCTACGGCTGCTTTCAAGATGGTTACTAGAAGATCAAAGAAACAAGGATTTTCCCTTATTCCATCCTCTGTCTCTGAGCCCCACCTGGGTACCAGGATTTTGAGTTGTAGGAGTGGCCAGCATTCAACATCTAAATTCTCTGTCTCGCCCCACATTTGCACCATTTCCCTTTGCGGCATCAAAAACACCCACGTGAGACCACCATCTTCCACATTACTGAAGTGGGGTTCAGCAGCCTGGGGTAGTGGGTGGAATCCAAAGTCCTTTTTGAAATTTCTCTGTGTTAATCCGTTAGAATCAGGACTTAGGATCCAGCTGGGTACAGTTCCTTTGGGGTCCTCACTCCTGCCCATCAGCCTATAAGCAGGGATCCGCTTAAAGGTAAAACGGCTTTGATGTTGTGCAAAGTGTGCAGCGCATCTCTTGCCTCAGCAAAAAATAAAATAAAAAATCTGTCGCAGGAATATCAATGCAGAGGTGTTGGAAATGCCTCAGCATAGAAGCAGGCTTGCAAATATGACATAAATTTGGAGATTGCACACATACAATTTGCAGGACGCAATTGCATTTTGAAATTCATAGCTTTGAGTAGTTGTTAAGGCAGTGCTGGCAGTTCAGCTGTGCCTTGGAAGTTTTTTTTGCCATTTGCAAAGTCAGGATAGATAAGGGGTACTGGATAAGTTTCTTATTCATTCTTTTTCCTTTGCACACCAGAGTGGAGTTAGTTGCTAACAATTAAATAGATGTCTGTTTCCGACAGGAACGTTATTTATTTATGTCGTTTATTATTAAGATTTGTATCCCGAACTTCCTCCAAGGGCAGCAAAGACCAAGGGGTTTAAAACAGTGCCACTTAAAATCAAACAGAAACTCATTTAAAACATTTAAAAACAACTAAAAACCACCTAAAAACTAGCTGAAATACCTGTCTGTGTGATTGTGTGTGGAATGTGGCCCCCTAACTGCTTTCCAACAGGTGATGTGGCCCAAAAACTTTCCTCACTCCTATGCTTGAGGCCCACACAGGTACATTACTTAAATAATTTTTCTTTAAAAACATGGTTAGAAATTAACATTCTTGGGAAGTGAAGCGGTGGGGGAGACTGCTTCCTCGTCCATATTGCCAGAAGTGGAATCTATTTGAAATGTGTTGCTTAGGGCTTGGTTATCTGCATATGTTTCTGATAAGGCTTAATTAAATTAAATTAAAATGTTTAAGGAAGATACATCCTTGGTGCAGGGAGGGGCCCAGGAGTTCTCATTGCTGTTCCTTCTGGCGCCAGATATGTCCTCTTTCTCAGCAATGGGTCACAAGGACACAGGAAGCTGCATTGCACTGATCTATCTAACTTGGGGGCCGTGGCTGTCCAGGATTTCAGCAGGGAACATTCCCAGTTTTACCGGGAAATGGCATTAGGGACAGACAGTGTTCTGCACCCGAGCGACAAAACCTCCACCTCGAACATGAAGGCAATAGGCTTCTTTTGCTTATGGGTAACGCACAGGTAGAGTGCCTCTGCTCCTGGAGGAACCGATTATTGCCATTGTGTTCAGCGGCTGATAAAGACGGTCCCTTTACCAGTGGGCAATGCCTCTGCCTTGTCGTATTATCTGCTAAGCGACTGGAAGGATGCTGCCAGGAGCGAAGGAGAGCTTAGCTGGGAGGCGGGTCCTGGGGGTCCTTACCTGGCAGGAGACACAGCAGCTCAGTTTATCCCAGCAGTGCTGCCTGGAGGCTGATGAGAGTTGGAGCCTGACATGTTCCAGAATGACATAGGTGTTGTACCTTATACAGTGGTACCTCGGGTTAAGTACTTAATTCGTTCTGGAGGTCTGTTCTTAACCTGAAACTGTTCTTAACCTAGAGCACCACTTTAGCTAATGGGGCCTCCCGCTGCCGCCACGCCACTGGAGCACGATTTCTGTTCTCATCCTGAAGCAAAGTTCTTAACCCACGGTACTATTTCTGGGATAGCGGAGTCTGTAACCTAAAGCGTATGTAACCCGAGGTACCACTGTAGATCTTATTCTCCAGATCGAGCCAACAGGTGCTCATGCATAGCTGTCAACTTTTCCCTTTTCTTGCAAGGAATCCTATTTGGAATAAGGGAATTTCCCTTAAAAAATGGGAAATGTTAACGGCTATGTGCTCATGGCACCCAGGGGGGTTGAGACCCAGCCCTGGGGGAATGCTATGCCTTAATAAGCCAAGGAAAGAGACAGAACGCCTTGCAGTACTGCTTTCGCCACCCTTTTTTGCCCCTCCAACTGCTTCTCACGGCAGCTTCCGTAACAGAACCCGGCAGCCTGCCCTCCAACACACCGTTTCCAATCTATTATACTGCCCACGCTGCTCCTCCTCTAGACTAGGCTAGACCTTCGCCTGCAAAAGCTCACGCCAGCTACGGCAAACTCATAAAGAGGACCGTGCCAGATCAGATCAAAGACCTTTCAGTCTGGTCTGGCGTTCTGTTCCAAGAGTAGCCAGCCAAATGCCTGGGGGAAGCCCACAAGAGGAGTTGAGCCCAGTCTGTCTGAGGGTGTTTCCAGATGACTCGTTTACTGAGCATTTAACCTGATCTGTTTGCAGGGAAACTAGACGGCAGTTGGCCATTTAATAAGCACTCCTGATTTGTTTGTGGGAAGGTGAGGCAACTCTGTCAGAGCAAGCTACCTCACAACCACCAGTACATGCAAAAAGCCCAATATTTTGGGGAGGTGGAGGGTTTGTTTTTGCACAAGACCGCCTAATGCGCTATAACCGCACAACCTGAATTTGCCAGAATCCCATCCCCAAATAGCGACAATCTGGAAGGGCCCAAAGTTTTATTGGTTGTCATGGTATATCATGGGGTGTGGGCGTTGTTAGGGGAGGGGTAGTACCTCTGCAGGGGACACACACACACACACACACACACACACATTGTGCTCCTTCTGGGGCAGTTTGTCCACCTTTGCACTCATCTCTCTCTTTTGGCTCCTGGAAGCTGCCAGCATGCGACAGCAGCCACAGCCCGGGAAACAGCTTCAACTAGCCAGCTAAACCAGGTGAGGGCAGCCGATGGGTCTCAAACCCTCGGTGAGTTAGGGACTTCCTCTGCATGTGAAGGCAGGCTCTGGCAGACTGAGTGGATGAGAGCAAGAGTAGGCCCAAGAAGGCACTTTCTGCATGTGCCGTAGAGGAAAAAGAGGGGCAGATGGGAAGGTAGCCCATCTAGAAGGAAAACTAATTCTAAACCTCTGCTGCCTTGTGGGATATCTTCACGTGTAAACCCTACACAAATCCAGTGCGGAGACCCTAAGGCAGTTGAATGGCACCTTGTACTCCTCCTTCCTGCAACTCCTGCAGCCAAGCTGGTGCCAAATGTCTTGCTCTGCTTTCTTTTGGACCACATCAGTGAGGCTGAGAGGGGAGTCTTGTCGTCTGGGCAGCCCAGGACCTCCAGACACACTGCCTAGACTTGCGTATTGGGGAGGTCACCGCTAATGAAGAAGTTTGACTTCACCCCCAAAGGCACACTCCATTGTCTCTCGAGACATACAGTTGCCAACCAGAACATGCCAACTTGTTCACATCTCGCTCAGGCAGACGCACAACTGAAAATCCACAGTGGTCTTTTTTTTAGAAAATAAATTGTTTATTACGAAATTATAACATGGATGTCCCCCACCCAACACCAATTATGCCTTAGCTCCCTAGAATAAAATTGTCCTGGCTATAGAAAGTCCCTTTGTGGTATCAGGAGAGGAGGGCTTTGTCCAGAGGTCAGAGGCCAGATCTGGTCCTCCGCCCTCGCTGCCATCTCCACGCATTTTCCTGGGAGCCCATGCAGGGGTGCTGGTGGTGAGGTCAGAAGCCCTGCCCTGGCTGGGGGGGCTGCAAGTTGAATGAGAGGTAAATCCATGCTGGCAAGACTGGATTGTTAGGGTCCAGGGAGGGAGGGAGTTTGGTACCAAAGGATTCTGGGAGAAAATGAATGCATAGAGTTATTTTGTACAGGAGAAGGGGGAAAGAAAAGAACGGAAACCAAAAACAGAATAAACACGGCACAGGTAACAGCAAAATGAAGAGAAAACAATGTGAATTACAGAGGGGACCAAAACAAAACCCAACCCAAACCAACCCATAACATTTTTGTTTAAAGTCTGAACAAATGACAAAGTAGCAAAATGGAAAGGGAATCGAGGACGTCTAAAGGAACAGAGTAAGGAATGACGGAAGCTGGAAGTGCAAAGTAGCTGAAGAAAGGAAGAGAAGAATCCAAAATAAAATCAAAGTAATTTAAACATGAAAGATTTGGGGAGCGGGAAAACCGAGAGAGAATGAAAGACGCACTGAAAGAATAATTGGGGTGGCTAACCTGTGGCCCTGCAGATGGTGCACAACCACAGACCCCCCATCATCCCTGACTGCCGGCCATGCCGGGTGGGACTGATGTGACTCAGAAACATCTGGAAGGCCACAGACCAGCCGCCCCGGCCTACAGGGAGGCGACGCAAACAAGGACAGGAGATGTCTAGAAGACAAGCTGAAACCGAGAGCGAACCGAAAGGGAGAAAGCAACAAGCAACACGACAGGGACAGAGAGGACTGGAGGGCCGCGCTGTTCCGTGGATGTGACCCCTCCCCGGTTCGAAGTCCCTCAGGTTGGAGGTGGCCCTTCTGGGGTGCCGTAGAGCTCAGCCAGCGTTCGGAAGAGTGGCCCCCATTCTTCCAGGTACTCGTACCCTCCGGCGTCGCTGTCGCCCGCGCATGAGGACCCCGGGGAGCTGAGGGAGCCGGCCGAGGAGCCCTGTCCCTCATAGCCGTACACCTGGATGGAGTCGTAGGGGGGGACGGAGGGGTCGGCATCCACTTCGCTCAGGCGGGCCGCCAGGAAGCTGGCCACGTCGTGGGGCTGCGGGGGCCGGCGGGCCGGCAAGGAGGGCGGGAAGTGCAGGCGGGGGAGCACATCCCGCCGGAAGAGGCGGCGCTGCTGAGGCGGTGGAGGGGCAGCGTCGGGGTTCTGCAGGGCGGCCATGTCGAAGGCCTCCGTGTCCTCTTCGCCCCCGCCCTCGTCGTCGTAGGTGATGATGTTCTCGCGGACGTCCTCTTCTTCGAAAGGCAGCAGCGCCGCCTGCTTCTGCCTCCGGAGGGCGACAAACAGCAGCACCAGGGCTGGACGCAGGGAGGCGGGTGGCAGGTGCAGGCAGAAAGAAGCAGGGGAAGAAGAAGAAGAGTTTGGATTTGATATCCCGCTTTATCACTACCCAAAGGAGTCTCAAAGCAGCTAATATTCTCCTTTCCCTTCCTCCCCCACAACAAACGCTCTGTGAGGTGAGTGGGGCTGAGAGACTTCAAAGAAGTGTGACTAGCCCAAGGTCACCCAGCAGCTGCATGTGGGGGAGCGGAGACGCGAACCCGGTTCCCCAGATTACAAGTCTATCGCTCATAACTACTACATCACACTGGCTCTCTGGGGAGAAGGACAGGCGTTAGCAAGGCACAACAAACAGCAGGGCTTTCACCACCACACACACCCATACACCTTGTTGGACGCTTCTTGTGGAATCAGAAGGACATAATACAATAAGAGCCTTCCCAGGCCAGGCCAATGGCCCATTGAGTCCAACATCTTTGTTCTTACAGTGGCCGGAAACCCACAAGCAGGACCTGAGTGCAACAGAGCTGTTCTCCACTCCATCTTCAGTGGAGGTGGAAAAGACTCATTCTCAAAAGTCCACCCTCCATAATTAAAACAACACAACAAGATGGAAGAAGTAAAAAAATTTTGAGATCACACATGGGTGAAGGCGAGTGGGGGGTATAGGGGAACATAAAAATTTCTAATACAATATTTCTAATTGCGCTGCAAAGGGAAGTCTATAGCAATTAGGTATATTTTAATTTAGTCAATTATGTAATAGGCTTATGTTACAAAACGAATATGGATTTTGAATTTGATGTTTGTAATTCTTTTTAGGTTTTGGAATAAAGTTTTAAAAAAGAAGAAGTCCACCCTCCATGTTTCTAGAGGTCCTCTGCTCAGTTTGGCACCCATCCTTGGCGCCCAACCTCTGCTCTCAGATCTTTTTGGATCTGCAAGGCCCACATTCTTGGGATACCATAACAGTGGCTCACTCTACTGCTTTGCTCTTGACCCCAGGACTCTGTCTCAACCCCTGGCACTGTTAACAGAAGCCCACGTTCACATTTCAAGCTGTTTTTTGTTGTTGTTGTTGTCCGAGATCCATCCTTAGATAAACATTAGAGATTTAGATAAACAGCCTCTTCCTAGTTTTGAAACTCCATCTCCAGGAATCATTGATTCCACTCCTTCTGAAAATCTGCCCCTGCCCTGTCTGGGTTTTCGGTGGGGATGGGCAAATCGTTCAATTGCAGTTACTAATTTTTTTAAAAACGCTCTTAAATTCACTTCTCGACATTTCTGCAGTAAATTGCAATTTTTAAAAATCCTTGCGAAAATTTGTTCTAGCGCAGATTTCCCATAATTATGTTCTTGCACGCAGTGTTAGCTAAAATGCAAAATTTCGCAAGCAATTTCCCTCCAACGCAATGCACTTCTGTATGTAATTTGCAGTAACGTTTTTTTACGCACACTTCCCCCTGACATAAACATGTTTGCACCAGTTGTTTGTTCGTCGAACTGCCTCACAAAATTCTGAAAAGCGTGAACTCTGAAGTTTAGCTATGTTTCAGTTTGCGTATTGGTGCAGAAGTGTGAATTGCCGATCTTCTCACTGGAGTGCGGAAGGAACCAAATTCCTCCCCCCTCCCCAGTTCGCAGCCCCCATTTCTGCCGCCTGAGTGCAGCCCCTGTTCTTTCTCACCAAGCAGAGTGCCCACACAGGCCAGGATGGCAAGAAGGGCACCCGTGCTGAGGCCTGCCGGGGAGCCCAGGGCCTCGGCCCCGCAGGAGTGCATGGCCCCATCGCGCCGACACCGGCAGATGCTGACGGTCAGGGTGGGGGAGCCTGTGCGGGTGGGGGAGCCCCCGTCCACCAGTTCCAGCGGCACCAGCAGGGACCCGCCTTGTGTGGGCAGGCGGGCGGCACGAAGTAGCAAGGAGGCAGAGTTGTCTGGGGAGGGAAAAGATGAAAAGCGGTTAGGGGAACAAACTTATAGACCGCAGCATAAAGCGGTGTAAGGCGCGCGTGCGCACACAGAGACAGAGAGAGAGAGAGAGAGAGAGAAAGCAAGCTCTGAAAATCATAATACAGTGGTACCTTGGGTTAAGTACTTAATTCGTTCCGGAGGTCCGTTCTTAACCTGAAACTGTTCTTAACCTGAAGCACCACTTTAGCTAATGGGGCCTCCCGCTGCCGTCGTGTGATTTCTGTTCTCATCCTGAAGTAAAGTTCTTAACCTGAGGTAATATTTCCGGGTTAGCGGAGTCTGTAACCTGAAGTGTATGTAACCCGAGATATGCTTCAGGTTACATACACTTCAGGTTACAGACTCTGCTAACCCAGAAATAGTGCTTCAGGTTAAGAACTTTGCTTCAGGATGAGAACAGAAATCGTGCTCCGGCGGCGCGGCAGCAGCGGGAGGCCCCATTAGCTAAAGTGGTGCTTCAGGTTAAGAACAGTTTCAGGTTAAGAACGGACCTCCGGAACGAAGTACTTAACCCGAAGTACCACTGTATCAACAAACCCTTCAAAACAGTAAGGCCAGCCTACAAACATCAGAAACAAAGCAATTTTCTCAGCTATAAAATTGATATTCCATAAATGATTGGGGTACCCCTTGGGGAAATCGCTCCTAAACAAAAATGGATTCAGTAGGCACCAAAGCATCCTGGCATTAGGTGGTGGTCTTATTTCAGCTGGTAATTGATCCCAGAGAGCTGGAGCTGCAACACTAAAAGCCTAGTTTGTACTACAGGCAAACACACAACTCTCTGCAACTCCCCATCTGAGAAGCACAGTTGCTAGGCAGTGGGGTCCCTCGGATATATTGGTCTCGAGTTAGAACCACAGAATTGTAGAGTTCGAGGGGACCCCAAGGGTCATCTAGTCCAACCCCCTGCAATGCAGGAACCGCAGTCAAGTTGCTCAGGGCTTTAAATGCCAAAAGGCAAACCTTGAACTGCGCCCGTGTTGGCAGCCTGTGCGGCAGAGGTGTCGATGGGATGCCCTGGGTCAGCCTAGCTGCTGTATCCTGTGCCGGCTGCCCCTTCCAGGGGAAGCCCCACATAGAGACCACGTTGTGGAAATCCAGCCTTGAGGTTCTCAGCGGCTGGTCACAGCAGCCAATCTATGTCAGTCGAGGAGCAGCTGCAACCAAATGTGGTCCTAGACTTTGGCTAATGAAACAATCTATGGTCTTTGAAGCTGTGTGTCAAGGTTATCACTTCCCTTTGTTGTTATGGTATGTTTTCTGTGTGTTTTCATATTGCAGACTGCCCTGTGGTCCTCGGACGAAAGGTGGTACAGAAATTTAATTAGCAACAAACAACAGCCGTAACTGCCACTGGTGCCATCTGTGCCTTGAGTGACAAAAGATGGATCAAGCCGCAGCCCCAGGCTACGTACCTGTTCCTTCCTTTACTGTCCGCAACAGGTAACTGAACTACGCCCTGGACGTGGGCAGCACTCGCACACAGGGCCTCTGTCTTTCCAGGGTGTAAGCTCCGTTTGCTGGCACTCATCCAGCCCTCCACTGTGGCCAGATGGTGGTTCAGAGCCTGCCTGGCCATTCTCAATTCAGAGGCTACATACTGTAGGTACCAATCGCCTGATGAGCATTCCTAAGGGTTTCATATGCTAAGTAGCATGGGGGGGGAGCATGCCCCGCAGAACCCCAAAACATGGATGCCTAGGCTGAGGAGCATTTTCTCCAATGCCACTCTTCGGAGATGATCCTGCAGGGGGGGACTGGAACCGCTGTAAAGCAGTGCCCCCAACACCCATCCCACAGAGAGGACGGTGTGTCAAAAGCCACAGAGAGATCAAGCAAAAGAAGCAAGGTTGCAGTTGTGGAGTCCTCTTTTCCCTCTCCTGGAAGAGCTCAAGGCCAATTCAGACCTGACACCATTCTGAAATGAGTCGAGATCCGTGGTTCCCAAACCACCACCCCGCTCCTTGGTTCCACAAACTCATGCCCAATGTCCCCTGCCCTACAAAAAGCACCATTCAGAATAGCAGTCGGCACGACCCACTAAGGAAGATAATAACACAATAAAATTAAACAGTAACGATTCATTGCACATGTATTCAAAATCCAATTAAAACTATTTAGTTTAATTAATTCAGCAAAGTTGATGAACTAGATCCAGGGATACCAGCGTTTCAAGGTCTGATTGTCATTTACACCTCCAGCCGCCGCCACCACCAACCAGCCCCCCAGCCCTTGCCTCTTAGCGCCCCCCCCCCCAGGTTATCCCACTACCTCCCAGGCCACTGGACTAGATGACCAGCTTTATCTGAGATTGCCGGCCAAGCACCTGGGATGTTTGAGAAAGCCACACCTGAGAGCAATCCCTCACCCTTGTTGTCTCGCACAGTGACGTTCGGGTCCCTGGCCCCAAGCGGGGAGCGGATTATGATGCGGCTCACGTTCCCGTCCTCGTCTCGATCCACCGCTCGGATCAGCTGCACCAACTAGCGGGAGAAGGGGAAAGGAAAGGGGTGAAGGAGCCAAGCTGCGACCCATAGCTGTCAACTTTTCCCTTTTTTAAAGGGAAATTCCCTTATTCCGAATAGGATTCCTTGCACGAAAAGGGAAAAGTTGACAGCTATGCTGCAACCTCCTCGCCTAGCTCCATCCCTCCTCCCCCCCAGTTTTATTTATTTATTAACATTCTTATATTACATTGGTAAACATTGTCATATTACATTACAGAGCTTATTATAATATATTTTCCAACATGTATACCGAGATTATATACAAACTTTATATACCTGGAAAAAAAGAAAAGAAAAACAAAGAGAAAAAACAAAGACAATTCCCCCCCCCCAAATCATATACGTACCAACACATTGGACTTCCTGTGTATCCTGTTGTATATTCCTTTTTGGACTTCCTGTCTATCCTGTTGTATATTCCTTTTTTTACAAATGAATGTACTCATATTATTGTATATTTCTTTTAAATCTTATCTAGTACATTCCTATAACAATATGTGCCGCCTAGCTCCACCCTAATAGCCAAACCGGTGGGTGTTATTACCCGTATCAGGTCCCAGGTAGCACTTACGTGGCCGGGGGCAGCATTGTCACAGACAAACGGCTCGTAGCTGTGCTCCAGCTGGGGCGGGTTGTCGTTGACGTCCAGAATCTGGATGGCCACTTGGACGTGGGAGGCCTGTGTGGGGCTGTCTGGGGGCAAGAGCGGGGGGATGGGGAGAAGCACACAGCCCACACACAGCGTGAGGCGGCCGAGGAAAAGCCACGTGGGACATGCCGGGAATGGAATGCAGGCGACACGGAGGGACACACAACGGACAATTCACCAGGACCCCCCAATTGAAAAATGTTTAAGTTGCAAAGGGGGAAAGCCGTACAGATCAGCCGCCCCAGGCCAGGGCAGTTCCATGTGACAAGTGTGCATACGAAGCCATAGGATCAGAGAGATTACAGCAGGCAAAGAGGGGGCACAGGAGTGCATGCCAGGCGGACCATAAGGTGGGGTAGTTAGGAGGTTGTGCAAAATGAACACAAGGCAGGTACACAGAAATTGGCACCCATGCGAATACAGCATTTTAGATCGCACACACACAGCCCCGTAAGATCCAAGGAGAGGGAGGGGCCAGCACATGGTGTGCCGCGTTTACACGGGGGTAGGGAGATGTACGCGATCAAGCAGCCACATTGCGCCCGGCGTATACAACCATGCAAAAACAGAGCCACAGTGAGGTGTGCAGGCCACAGAATTGGCACGCAGAGGAATGTGTCGCCGCCACATCAGACGTGCGCGGTGATCACGACAAGCAAGGAGCCACATGGGACAAAGATGGCAGAAAGGAGCAAAGTGCGCGAGGCAGGTGTCGCAAAGGAGGAAGTGCATCCCGAGCAGGCAGCCACATGCAAAACGATGCACGGAGAGAGAAAAAGAGCAAGAGAGACAATGAGTAAATATTTGCCCATTGGGAAATAGGCGTATATATTGCACACTGCGGAATAAAAGCATTGGTTGCGGTATCTGTCGACGGGGGGAAATCCGACCCGCAAATGAATACCCCAAGCCCTGCCGCCACATCCCAGAGCCACCCACCTGGCCCTCCCCAAACCCACCTGTCCCTTACCAAGTTCTGTTGCCACCACAGTCATGTTATGCCAGGGCAAGAGCTCCCGGTCGAGAGGCACAGAGGTCAGAATGGTCCCGTCCTGAGGGTTGATGCTGAAATAGCGCTCGGGGTCCGTGTGCGGCAGGATGGAGTATCTAGAAGATGGGGGGGAACCTGGGGCATCAGGTTGTCGTGGCAACCAGGTACAAACGGATCAACTGTAACTTTCACACACAAGGCAGGCAGATGCTAATCCGCACAGTCCCCAACCCACCCCTGCTCCTGCGGCCCCCCGCTTGCCGTTACCGGATGGCGCTGCTGGGGGAGTCGAGGTCCACAGCTGTCACCTTGCCCAACAGGGTCCCCGGGGGGCTGTTCTCGTAGACGGCGAGGTGGTAGTCGGAGCGGGAGAAGGCCGGGGGCTCGTCGGCGTCCTCCACCGTGATGCGGACGGTGGCCATGTCCTTGAAGGGGCCTTTGCGGATGTACTGGGGGTCAATGAGCGTGTTGGTGGCTTCCACGCGGAAGGTGTACGAGTGGCGCGATTCGAAGTCGAGGGGCTGTGGGAGGGTTTGGGCAAGTTAGAGCGAGGAACCGGAGGGAAAGAGGGAGGGGAGCTCTATGGGACGGGGAGACCCATGTCAAAAGACGGCAGTGGGGATGCTTGCGGAAGCGGAATAGTGACAGTCAGGGTCACTTCTTAGCGTGAGTCAGGGAAATAAGAAAAGCAGGCCGTGAAGCTACAACTAAGGTGCAAGGCTGGAAGCCTCTGTCAGTCATCGTCTACTGAGTATTCAGTATCGCTCAGTCCAGGCTGGCAGTTTAGCCAGTTCCAGGTCTCATCAATCCCACTTTCCTGAGCATCCTTTTGGTGACCACATTTGCTGGGACATTAGGACTTATTCCACTGCTTTAAAGGACATCAGAACATAAAAATGGTCTGCTGGCTCAGGACTGCAATACCTCAAAGACCATATGAACCTACCCAGACCCTGAGATCATCTTCTGAGGCCCGTGTGCCTCCTCCTCGAGAGGTCCGGAGGGTGGCAACACGAGAACAGGGCCTTCTCTGCAGTGGCTCCCCATCTGTGGAATGCTCTCCCCAGCGAAATTCGCCTGGCGCCTTCATTATACACCTTTAGGTGCCAGGCAAAAACGTTCCTTTCTAACAAGGCCTTTGGTTGACCTGATTGACATAATATAAAATGTGGCTCTTTTAGGGGGCGGGTGTTATTGTTCTTATTTTGATTTTATATATTGGGATCTTTTCTGTGAACTGCCCTGAAACCTCTGGGAATAGGGTGGTATATAAATTCAATAAATAAAATCCTCATCCTCATCATCAGTGGTCTTCCCCTTCATGAACTTGTTGAATCCTTCAGAACCCACAGCTCCCATCTTCTGCTGCCTGCGGGGCAAATGGAGGGGGTGGTCCCTGGGAGGAAGGAAGGAGGATCAGAGCCCCCCTAATTTCAAGGTACCCCCAGAATGGGGGCGCCTCCACCAACCTTTTTCACTGTGATGATCCCGTCCTGCCCCAGCGCATCGGTGTGGATAGCGAAGGCTTCGGCCCCGTCTCCTCCGTCCAGAATGCTGTAGGCCAGCAGAGCATTCTCCCCTTCGTCGGGGTCGTGCGCTCGCAACCGCCCCACGGCAGAGCCGGGAGGTGCAGTCTCTACCACGGAAAACTGGTAGGAGCCTGGGGGATGGGAAGGAAGTGCAGGGAAACAGGCGTGTGTATGGAAGAGAATGGGCGGCAGCCAACAAAGCAAGGACTTTTGGCTAACCAGCAGAACCTCCCCACTCCTCTCCCTCTATGTCCCCCTAAATCTATCTATCTATCTGTCTATCTATCTATTATTAAATTTTCTGTTTTACAGTTTAAAATGCTCATTTAAACATCCTTAAAACATCAATGACTTCCCTTCTTCTCTTTCCACGGTTCATTTTGCATATAAATCCCTGCCTATTTTACGGAAACTTAAAGCATTCAGTATCCCATTATTACATCCGTCAAAACTTACTCACACAGTTGAATTTATCTTAATGCTACCAAAGTTTTCAAGTGTCCACAATTTGCCCCCATATATTCAATAAACATTTTCCAATCTTCTCTAAATGTATGTTCTTCTTGTTCTCTTATTCTATATGTTAAGTCTGCAAGCTGAACATATTCTGTCAGCTTAAGTTGCCACTCTTCTTTAGCTGGGAACTCACTCGTTTTCCATTTTTGGGCTAACGAAACACGGGCCGCAGTGGTAGCATGCATAAATAACCTTTTTTGACACCTGGGAATCTCAGTCTGAATTATCCCCAAAGAAAAGGAAGACTCTGGTGTGTGTGTGTTTTGGAAAAGTACTTTTAAACATTTTTTTCTATTCATTATGGATCATTTCCCAATACTCTTTTACCCTTTTACAAGTCCACCACATGTGAAAGAACGTTCCCTCAACCTCTTTGCATCTCCAACACCCTATATCCTAAGGGCTGCCCATACCTTTCAGCGTGAATGTGGGGACAGGAGACAGAGGGGGATTTCTGCTGCATGAGCAGAAATCCTTGCACTAGCAGAAGTAGACTGTGTACACAGCCCACATTGAAAGCACATCTCTCCCTGCCTCAGAGGATCCTGGTAACTGTAATTTACTTCCCACAGAGCTGCATTTACCAGCACCCTTAAACTACAGTTCCCAGGATTTTTTTTGTGTATGTGTGTGCTTTAAATGCACGGTGTGTACACAGCAATTCTCTGTTGAAGGCTACCAAATCATAGAGTCATGGAATCATAGAATTGTAGGGACCCCCAGGGGCCATCTAGTCCAACCCCCTGCAATGCAGGAATCTCAGCTAAAGCATCCATGACAGACAGACGGTCCTGTAAACCTGAAGGAGTGTCTCCACCCCCATCATCCAGCCCGGACACTGAGGTCCAGCGCCGAGGGCCTTCTGGTGGTTCCCTCGCTGCGAGAAGTGAGGTTACAGGGAACCAGGCAGAGGGCCTTCTCGGTGGTGGCGCCCACCCTGTAGAACGCCCTCCCAGCAGATGTCAAGGCAATAAACAACTATTTTACTTTTAAAAGACAACTGAAGGTGGCCCTGTTTAGGGAAGTTTTTAATGTCTGACGCTGTATTGTTTTTAATATTTGGTTGGAAGACGCCCAGAGTGGCTGGGGAAACCCAGCCAGATGGGTGGGGTACAAATAATAAATTATTATTATTATTATTATTATTATTATTATTATTATTGCCATCCAACCTGTGCTTGAAAATCTCCAAGGAAGGAGAGTCCGCAACCTCCCGAGGGAGACCGTTCCGCTGTCAAACAGCTCTTATTGACAGAAAGCACTTCCTGATGTTGAGTCGGAATGTCCTTTCCTGTCACTTGAATTCATTGCTTCAATGTGCCGCCTCTGACTTGAGTCATTTTAACCCCCCACCCACCCCGTCTACACACTACAAAGTGGCAGCCACTGATTCAGACTGTGTTAAGCACACACTGTACCCTGAAAGCACATTCGAAGCACGTTCCCCCCCTCAAAGAATTATGGGCAGTGTAGTTTACCCCTCACTGAGTCACACTTCCCAGCAGCCCTTGACAAACTACAGCACCCAGAATTCTTTGAGGGGAATGTGCTTCGAATGTGCTTTAAAGGTACAGTGTGAGCACCCCTGCTGTGCTCCAAGCAGCCCCACTCAGTCCTCTGCCCCACTAAACTGGGACTACGTGAGAAGCGGGAAAGGGTGAGTGGACTACCATGAACAGACCGGCTGGATTTCATTATTCAAGAAACGTAGTCTCCTTTCCTGATCTTCCTTCTCCCCTACGACTTCACACATCATGAATATGAAAGGAAGACGTTGCAACATCCTGCATTAATTCATAATCACGCTCTTAAAACATTTACAGTATTTGTTCGCCTGTTACATATTTTTCAACAATTGTTAGCGTCAAGGATAACGTAACGTCTGAGGTTGTCGCAGGCTTCCTTGTGATGCGCTTTGCAGTTTTGTGTGTGGTTACATTAAAAAACGTTTAATATGCTAGGCTCCGAGGCTAAACCGTAAACAAAACATCCAATTAGATTGCAAAACCTGTCCCAGGAACATCTTGCCTCTCCTTAACAAAGTTAAGAACCAACCAAGACAAATTTCCTGTAGACAGCTCAGATCCAATGTTTTCGATTAGCAAGACCTTAGTTCTGAGCTATCTGGCGGCTCAAATTTAGCAAACTAACATGGAAACGAGTAGCAAAAGTGGCTAGGGAGCTCAGAATTGTTGCTTTCTTTTGTGGGTTTTCCTTTGCTTTACTTTCCAAACTCAGGTCCAATCCCAGCTGTCTTCTTTCTCCAGGGGGTGCAGAATGCCGCAGCAGGACTCCTTACGGGGTCCTTGCTGCGAGATCACATTCACCCGGTGCTATACCAGCTGCACTGGCTCCCGGTGGAGTACAGGATCAGGTTTAAGGTGCTGGTTTAAACCTTTAAAGCCCTATATGGCCTAGGACCCTTGTACCAATGGGACCGCCTCTCCTGGTATGTCCCACAGAGGAACTTACGGTCTTCAAACAAAAACATCTTGGAGGTCCCAGGCCATAGAGAGGTTAGGCTGGCCTCAACCAGAGCCAGGGCTTTTTTGGCTGTGGCTCCGATCTGGTGGAACGCTCTGTCACAAGAGACTAGGGCCCTGCGGGACTTGACATCTTTCCACAGGGCCTGCAAGACAGAGCTGTTCCACCAAGCCTTTGGCCAGGGCACAGCCTGGCTCCCTCCTTTGGCAATCTTCACAGAACTCTAGCCCAATGGTTGCCATCAATTTGATTTGAATTAATTTTATAATGAAATGATTTTAGAATGTTGTATTATTTTATTGTTGTTAGCCACCCTGAGCTCAGCTTCGACTGGGGAGGGTGGGATATAAATAAATATTATTATTTATTATTATTATTATTATTATTATTATTATTATTATTATTAAAATCTGAAGTTTCTGGTCAACCTCTAAAATCCTCTGTTCTCCCAATAAAGTGGCAGGCATGTCCTGTCCACAGCCTCCCCCACACCAGCCTTTCTGCCCTGCATATGAAAATGTGGTCGCATCCATAGAAAGAACCAAGGTCTGATGCTGACTACCCCTTCCCAACTTACTCTGAGGGAAGCGAGGCGGGTTATCGTTGACGTCGCTCAGCGTGACAGTGACGGTCGTGCTTCCTGAGAGACCCCCGGCATGGCCCCCCATGTCCTTGGCCTGAACCACAACAAGGAATTCTTGCTGGGTTTCCCGGTCCATGTTGGGGGTCGCTGTCCGGATCACACCTAAAATGCAGGAGGAAGGAGGAGAAGTATCAGAGAGAGAGAGTGGCAAAAGGAGCAGTGGGTGAAGGACCAGGATAGATAGATAGATAGATAGATAGATAGATAGATAGATAGACAGACAGACAGACAGACAGACAGACAGACAGATGATAGATTCCCACCCTGCAAATTTCCCTTCCATCCTCTCAATTAGCTCCACCTAAAGGGAAGGAAGTGTTATGTATTCAGTGGTCTGTGTTTGCCTGAGCTTGAGTCTGGACTAAGGATTCTGAGCTCCCGTGTTCTGATTCAATACATGTTGTCCAATCGCAGAACATTACAGGATTTGGGCCTCTGCCATTGGCTATTCAACTCTTGAGTCGTGATTCGCAGTTTGGAAGTTTAGACAGCCAATCACGTTGGGAGTGGGAGTGGCCCAGGTTTTCAGAAATGTATATAGGCAGTTGCTTTGCCTCTGTTTCCCAGCAATGTAGTTCAATAAAGGTTCTTGCTGTTATCACTGTGTCTTGCCTCGTGGGAACCCGCCTAGACTTCACTGGAGACAAGGATGGGATGCTAGGCTAGGTATGCAACCCTGGCTAGCTTCCACAAGCTGAAATCACTGCTGAGCTGAAATGCCTGATTGCAGCCCCAAGGCAGATCACACAGAGCGGATATCATGGGCACCCAGGGCCACAACACCTACACTTCAGGAAGTGACAGGTGAAGCCAAGCAGGGCTGGTCAGAGTCACTGGGTAGAGGCACTATGATCTGGATGAATGTAAAGACAGGTGGCCGACTCAACAGATTCAGAGGTTGTTGTTCACGTGACCATGAAGCTGGACAAACAGGTGGAGGTTGATGGGATGAGTCACTGGTGATTGGATAGACTTGCAGAGAAGAAGGCGGCAACTCAGAGGCTGCATGACAGCACCTTTAAACCTCCCCTATGGCACACTAGTTGGGACGCGGGTGGCACTGTGGTCTAAACCACAGAGCCTAGGGCTTGCCGATCAGAAGGTCGGCGGTTCAAATCCCTATGTCGGGGTGAGCTCCCATTGCTTGGTCCCTGCTCCTGCCCACCTAGTAGTTTGAAAGCACGTCAAGTGCAAGTAGATAAATAGGTACCACTCCGGCGGGAAGGTAAATGGCATTTCCGTGTGCTGCTCTGGTTCGCCAGAAGCGGCTTAGTCATGCTGGCCACATGACCCGGAAGCTGTCTGCGGACAAACGCCGGCTCCCTCGGCCTATAGAGCGAGATGAGTGCACAACCCCAGAGTCGTCCGCGACTGGACCTAATGGTCAGGGGTACCTTTACCTTTATGGCACACACACACACACACACACACACACACACACACACACTTGCATAGGCTTGGATTTGAGGGCCTGTCTACGAGCCCTTCCAGATTTTGGAGAGGGGGCCGTGTTGCAGGTGTGCTCTGCAACGCGCCACTGATGCAATAATAGTGCCTCAGTAAGGATTTATAGTGGACTGTCACCACATCATCCTATGTTATTTTGCGATGCTTCCCCAATGTTAACCACGTTATTTCTTTCTGGAGGGGAGCTCCTGTGCAGCAACACGACAAAAGGAAGTAAAAAAACAAACCCACTAATAGGGCATTGGTGGTATGTAAAGCTACAGGATTTCGGCAGGACGTTACAGGGCACGCGCTGGTTGGAAGCGAGGCAGGGCGTCAACCCAAAATATTTGCAGGTGCACACTGTATTGAAATAACAAACGCCCAATAAAAAGAACATCTGTAAGGGGCTCTATCATTCCTAAACGTTAAAACTTGGCCTATTGCAGCCTTTCCCTACCTAGCACCCTCCAAATATGGAGGGCATAGTTGTGCAGTTCAAAACATCTGGAGGATGCCCAGTTGAGAAAGGGTGGCCTATTAATAACCAGTTGTTCCAAAATGCAAGGAAGGGAGTGTCGCACTCCCCGCTGAAGAAGCTTTCTCCACCATCAGCTTTGATGACCATCTCTGTGATTCCAAGCCAATCTGCCATTCCACGGCAAATCACAAATCCGCCCACTTGCCCCAGTCCCCAAGAGCGCACAACAATGGCCTCTTGCTGCATTCTTCCCTTCGCAATGGGGCGACACTGGCACCATCGCCCTCCCACCCCCAAACCTGCCCCCCTCCTCCCCGTTGTGTACCCGTCTGGGGGTCGACGGAGAAGAATGGCAACCCCTCGAGTACCGTATAGACCAGCCTGGCACTGTTCCCGTAGGCAGGGTCGTCCGCATCGTGGGCCGTCACCTGAATCACGGACGTACCTGGAGAAACGGGGCAGATTAACAGAAAAAAGAAAAACCAAACACACACAGGTTATTGAGGATGCTGGTTGCAAGAGTCCGCAGGTCAGAGTTCAAGAAGGGTCTTGTTGGCACAGAGACGTAGTTTCCGTCTTGGCCATAGTGCTGCTATTTTGTTGAAGGCCCGTCAAAAAGAGCAAAGTCGTAAGGCGTTTGAAAAGCAGGAACCCGGCACAGTTGAGAATTCACCAGAAAAACACTATAAGCCATCTTAGGTACCATAAATAAGTTTTTAAAAAATATAAAAATAAGGAAGACCACCTGCACTACCTGCCAGGCTTACGTTTTAAACATTGCTCAAAAGAGCCCCCAGGGAGGCAAACAGCATCTTAAAACAGCCATAAAAATCCAACATGTATTCTCCATTAAGAGCAAACTGTAAAATGCCAAAATAACAATATAAAAAAAGCAGCATCTCCAAACGGAATGCTAGATGAGAACTCCTCCAAGCCTCTTCACAAGAGTCCTGCTTGCAGACGCAAAGCTCTGGCAGGTTGCAGCGTGGTTGCTGTCGTTCCCAATCCCGCAACCCTGAAAAGTTACTATTAAATCATCAAAAGTACCTGTCTCCACCCTCCTCCCAAAGTACTCACCCCATAAAGGGAGGCTCCCTGCTGTGCCTCTGTATGATTCACCACCCTGGCCGTGTCTCATTCTACTCAGCCTCCGCAGGGGAATAGGTAATTTCGGCTGTGAGCCAGCATGGGGTGTGACTCGAGCGTTCAATCAGGCCCAATAAAGAGGCACAGGCCGTGCACACACTTTGCCTTCAAAGCCCATTCTTTCCCCTCAGAGAATTCTGGGAGCCGCAGCTCATCCCTCACAGAACTACAGTTCCCAGCAACCCTTAAGAAACTACAGTGCCCATAATTCTTTGGGGGAAACAATGTCCTTCAGATGTGCTTTAAAGGAACAGAGTGTACGCAGCCATAGTGGATTTGCCTGCCCTGAGAAGACGCTACACCAGGCTTCCTCACACGCGGCCCTCCAGATGTTTTTGGCCTACAACTCCCATGATCCCTAGCTAGCAGGACCAGTGGTCAGGGATGATGGGAATTGTAGTCTCAAAACATCTGGAGGGCAAGTTTGAGGAAGCCTGGGCTACAGGCTTTACCTCCCTTTGTGAGTTGCAGGCCTCGTCTGCCTCCAGTTAGGAGGCATTCTGAGATCAACAACTCCTGCAGAAACACAGAGGGGGTAGATTTATCTGAGGCTGGGCAGTTCGTCCACTTAACATACGAAAAGTCAACATGCACTTCTGACTTTTGATTTGGAAGAGAAGTGGAACATGGGAACTCATGGACTTCCAAGGATGCTGAATGATGGAAGATTCAGGATACAGTGGTACCTCGGGTTACATACGCTTCAGGTTACAGACTCCACTAACCCAGAAATATTACCTTGGGTTAAGAACTTTGCTTCAGGATGAGAACACAAATCGTGCTCCGGTGGCGCGGCAGCAGTGGGAGGCCCCATTAGCTAAAGTGGTGCTTCAAGTTAAGAACAGTTTCAGGTTAAGAACGGACCCGGAACGAATTAAGTACTTAACCCGAGGTACCACTGTATATAAAAGAAAGAACTTCTTCGTGCAGTGTTGAACTATGGAACGCTCTCCCACAGGAAGCAATGATGGCCACCAACTCAGATGGCTTTAAAAGAGGACTGGACAATTCATGGAGAAGAGGGCTATCAATGGCTACCAGCCTCAGGGAGGGTCAGGTCCTGTAGGACTTTGGTGGGCATGGTATGTAGCAGGAAATCTGGCATCTCAGGGGTCGGATAATGTCATGTGAGGAGTGCAACCCGGCTTCAAGTTTGGTTCTGATTTGAATCATCGTCTGGGGATGCCATTCACACACTTAAAAGCACACGGGGCCAACCCAAGGTATTTGGGTGGCTCAGGAGGGCATCTAGAATAGCTCCCGCAATTTCACCTCAAACTCTTCGCCTGTGTTCTCTGTGAGCCTGGAGAAGGAGGAATTGGAGCACCCAGCAAAATGGGCAATCTCCCCCCCATAATGTGCCCCCCTCCCGGAAAAAACAGGAAGGGGAGGAATTGGGCTGAGACTCTGGATGGCTCCTCTTCCCTCCTCCAGATTCCTTCATATGGACATAAGAACTACTTTGCTGGACTAGGCCCACATCCTGTTCTCACAGTGGCCAACCAGATGTCTGTGGGAAACATGCAAGCAAGATTCGGGCGCAACAGCCCTCTCCCATCCCATGGCTCCCCTTCTCTCTTGTGTGGGGAAGCAAGAAGACAATAAAAGGAGGGGTCCAGACACGGACATGTTCCAGATGCAGGAAGATGCAAGAGGCAACAGTGTATGGTCTTCCATATTTACACAAGGCCAACCCCATACCTGTGGGAAGCTCACCACGCAGTGGTGTTGAGCTGTTCATGTTCTTACGTCCAGCCCAGAGGGGGACCCCGCCTGTGAGCTTCCTCTTCCTCCTTATTCTCTGTGTTGCCCCTTGTAGGACTCAGAAAGGACTTATGCTCCGCGTTATGATACCAGTCATGGCTTCTCCCAAGGAATTCTGGGAACTTTGGTTTGCTCAGAGTCAGGAGAGTCGTTAGAAGACTCTCTCCCCCATAAGCAACACTTCCCAGAGTGCTTTACCGATCTCAAGGCCTCTTCCCAGGGAACTCTGGGAACTGTAGCTCCATGCGGGGAATAAGCGCCTCCTAACAGCTCTCGGCACTCTTAACAAACTACAGCTCCCAGAATTCTCTGGGGGAAGCCATGACTGCTTAAAGCAGCACCACAGCACTTTAGGGCGTGGAGGAGGCCTTAAGATTGGCTCTGCCTCCTGTCGTTTTCCATGCCTTCTGCCCTTCCAGCCCAAAGAGTGCCAGCTGCAGCAGGGTGGGAGACAGGGAGAAGAAAGGAAAGGTCCCAGCTAAGAGCTGGGAGGGTCGACCTCTTCCTGTGTGAGACAAGGGTTAAGATCCACCTGTGAGAGAAGATGTTGCATTCGCCTTCGTCTTTTTTCCGTTTCTGTTTTTGTTTAAATTTGGCGGGTTGTTTTTTCAAAAATTGCATTAGGAAAAGGCCCAATAAAACCTTATCAAAAAGGGTACTCTGCAAAGGGTCAGCTAAGGGCCACTAGCCAGGCCACTGAACTCACCCACGTTGCTCATTTCGGGCACAGTAGCGTGGTAAGGGCCATGGAGGAAGACCGGTGGGTTGTCGTTGATGTCTTGGACTTTGATGATGAACTCAGACGGCGGCTCCAAAGGCCGGTTAGAGGCCCGGTCCACAGCCTGGGCCAGCAACGTATACTGGGATTTCTCCTCCCGGTCCAAGGTTTTGGTGACGTGGATGTTGCCCGTTTTCTCGTCGATCACGAAGACCGTGCCGGCCCCCTCTCCGGTCAAGACGTACTTGATGCGGCCCTCGCCCCGGTCCACATCGGTGTGAAGCTGTCAGAGGAAAAAGAGAGTAAAGACATGGAACTCGGTAAAAAAAATATTTTTAAATCTATAACCCTAACACAGCCTTTGCTAACCATGAGTTTGGGAGCGCAGCCCCCAAACGCAGCTGAGGCTAATGGGAGCCGAATTAATCACAGAACTGTAGCGCTGGAAGGGACTCGGAGGGTCATCTAGTCTAACCCCCTGCAACGGGGTAATCTCAACTAGATCTCAACATACATGACAGGTGGGCTGCTGGAAGTTGTAGTCCAAAACCTCCCAAGGGCACCAGGGCGGTGAACGCTGTCCTAATGTAAGGGACTGGGTGGTGATGGTGAAGCAGCGGCAATGAAACCGCTGGCGGTGATTGGCTGAGCTGCCCTAATGCCAAGCATTCCCTGGCTACCATTGGTTGACTTGCTCCAATCAAAGTGATGGGCTGGGCAGGTGGCCAAGGTTACCAAAGCTACTTTCACACCTTATGTTAAAAGTGCTATAATAAAACTTTACACCAGCCGTGGCTTTCCCCAAAGAATCCTGTGTGCTGAGAGTTGTTCGGAAGACCTCTTATTCCTCTCCCGAGGCTACATTTCCCAGAGTGGCGTAACCACCAATCTCTCTTCCCGGGAACTCTGGGAATTGTAGCACCTGTAACCGCCTACAATTCCCATAATTCCTTGGGGGAAGCCACGCCTGTTTAAAATGGTATCATAACACTTTGGGGCAGAGGTGGCTTAACAAGCAAGACTGCTTTTTCATGTACAATAATCCAGTGTTCAAGGAACAATATATCTTGTGCGCCCACATCTTCAGGTGCGAGAATCTTGCCTTGCGCCAGCTCCCATCCCCTCCGCTGACCAACTTGCTCATTTATTACTGTACTGCGCTTTGAGGCTGATAAATGCAGCGTGTCTAAATTAGTTCACAGCTCAGGTGCCATTCGAGCCAGGGACATCTTGACTGAAAGCCAGTCAGAAATGAATATTATATTGTTTCTGCATCCTGTGTGCAATAAATGGCTTTCAGTCTGGTTGTCTGGGGAAAATTTTGTGTGTGTGTTTTTTGTTTTTTTTAGACATCATTTTCCCTGAGTCCGTTCCAGGAAGCTATTGTGCAGATGAGAATTCTGAAAAAAAAGGCCTGAGAGCTTGCTTCTAAGCGCAAAACTCCGCAATATTGGGGTGGGCTATTAGGGCCTAGGGAAGGAGGGTCCAGGAATGAGGGAGAGAGGAGAAGGGCTGAGGCAGGAGCCTGAAAGGAGGAATAATAATAATAATAATAATAATAATAATAATAATAATAATAAATTTATTTATATCCCGCCCTCCCCAGCCAAAGCCGGCTCAGAGCAGCTAACAGTAAAAGTAACACAGTTTACATAAAATCATGATCAATTAATTGAAATACATTCTAAAATCAATTCAGAATAAAACCTCAGGAGGTTTAGGCAGGAGGAGTGGGGGACCTGTGGCCCTCCAAAGGTTGCCTGCGACTCCAGATCCCATCATCCCTGATCATTGGACATGCTGCCTGGGGCTGATGGGATCTGGGTCCTAGCAAAATCTGCAGGGCCGCAGATTCCTCATTCGTGGCCACAAGTCTCTGTCAGAAGTTCAAAGCACTGCCGGAAATAGCGCTGCGGGAAATCTTATTGCATTCCCACCTTTTCTCCAAAGACCTCAAGGTAGCACCCATACGTCTCCCCCTCTCCACCCCCCCACCCCCACAATAACCCTGTGGGATGGATTAGGCAGAGAGATAGCGACTGGCCCAAAGTGGACTTCATGGCTGAACAGGAATTTGAACCCAGGTCCAGCGCTCTAACCACTACTCCACACTGTCTCCCTCGCCCGGCACTTTGAAAGCGGCATTGCAGGCACTTCCAGTCAGCTGATCCGCTGTGGCCAGGAAACATCCTTTGGGCTGAGTCTCACTCTTACCTGCCCCACACATAAATGATGTAGGGCAGGCAGCCTGGTTGAACCGGCCTTGCAAACCATGTCGCAAGGTCTGGTGGGCCCAACAATTAGGATCTATCCCTTTGCAAAAGGTAGGGTTGCACCCCATAGGTCCAGGCTGCCTCTCGTCAGCCCTCCACGCCGGCCAGCGTGGGGCCCAGCTGTCCTGCAGCTCACCCTCCCAATGAGGACGGGCTCCGGTCCGGCGTACTCCTCAATGACGAAGAACTGGTTCCAGACCCAGCTGCGACGGGACCTCATCAGCGGGCGCTCCCAGCGCTGAGACATGTTCCCCCGCAGGGACCCGGCTCTGGCACCCTGGCTGGGCGGCATGAGGCGGCCTGCACAGCCGCAGCCTCCCAACCAGGCCAGCAGGAGCTGGAGGAAACTGGCCATCGCTCAGCCCCGCAGTTCAGTCCTCCTGCAGCGGGGGGCGCTGCTCATCTGCGTTGCCCATAAGGAACAGCTACCCCATCTGGGTGGATCTGGGTGCATGGGGGGCAAGATGGGGGGAGAGAGAAGGGGAGAGAGAGAGGGAGAGAAAGACTAGATATCATTGCCAGTCAGATGCATCCTTCCAATCACGTACATCGCCATCCACTCCTGTCCAGAATAAATGGCTGATTCATGCAGATAATCCATAAAGAACACCGTTCCTCTTCCTTTCTCCGATTCCCATCCGATTGTGCCAGAGTTATTTATTTATTATGGCATTTGCAACCCCCTTCCCTTCCAAGGAGCCCATGGGGGTGTATACACTTCTGTCTTGAGTGGGGGTCAGCCTAAGGCAGTTTTCCTCAACCTCAGCCCTCCAGATGTTTTTGGCCTACAACTCCCATGATCCCTAGCTAGCAGGACCAGTGGTCAGGGATGGTGGGAACTGTAGTCTCAAAACATCTGGAGGGCCGAGGTTGAGGAAGCCTGGCCTAAGGGGTGGCAACTAGCTCAAGGTCACCCCACAAGGTCAGATCCCCAGGTCTACCAACTGCAACCTATGGGTCAGAGATATCCCAAATCCTTCCCGGCCTTCCGAAGAGAACCAGACACCAGATCTACGAATGATAACTGATAACAGGTAGACCAGGAGACACATCCACACTTTGCCAAACACTGTCCCCAAATGGACTATAGGTCTCCCCATTGCTACCCATGAGCGGGACCTAGCCCAAATCCCTCCTAGCCTCCCAGATCCCTTCTCAAGGCAAGCTGGCCAACGTTGCCCATAATCCTACAAGACTTCTGCAGAGAACTGCCTTCCTGCTGGATCTAACCCATGGGCTCCAAATTGGACTTTTGGGGGGAACCGTCTGCCAGGGATTCAAACCCTGGTCTCCCAACACTGTAAGCCCTACACCACACTGGCTCTCTTCAGGGAAGGGTGAAGCCAAGGCAAGGGAGCCGCCTGGGCCACACTCTGCACGTCTTCGGGTGCACACTGCGCTGGCACCGCCCGACGCAGCAAACGATCGAGTCGAGAGGCAATCTTTGGGCTGGCGCTCCACTGCGGATGCTGCTCTGCTGGCGTGTGAGCTGAGAACCTCATCCCAGCATCCTCTGTTCTTATTGATTTGCAATATTTGCGGACCACCTCCTAGCTAGGATTCTGTGGGCGGTTTAAAACAGGACTGGGGAAACCTGTGGCCCTCTAGATTTTGTGGCTAGTATGGCTCACCATCAGGGAACGATGGGAACCGGAGTGCCACAACATTTGGAAGGCCGTGAGTTCCCCACCTCTCGGTTCACAGTAAACATTAAAATTATACGAAGGCAGAAATGGGAAATCTAAGAACAAAACCAGTATCACAGGTGCTTGCGGGTTCTTCGGCTCAACCCTTGGTTTCCTAAACTACTCCAAAGGTGTAACTCAGCTGCTTCTGGTGGCGGAGAAGAGGAAAAGGCTCATTTAATGGAGACAGATTTACTTATTATGGGTACCAGAAGGCCAGTTCAGCACTGGGTAAATCGGTCCCACTGGAGGTTATACTACTTATGCGTGACGACGGAGACGGGGTCGTGGCTCAGTGGCAGAGCGTTTGCTCTGCATGCAGAAGGTTGCAGGTTCAATCCTAGCATCTCCAGGTAGGGAGAGGCTGAAACCCTAGAGAACGGCTGCCAGTCAGTGCAGGCAAGCCTGGCCTAGTTGCCCTGACTCAGCATAAGGCAGCTTCCTAGGTACTACTCCTTCTGACCTAGGATCTCAAACTCTGGGTCTTTCTGTGCCTAGGGTGTCAGCCTGCCACAAATCATAGAATCGTACAGTTGGAAGAAAAGCCCACTGACTTCTGAGCGAGCTGAACTGTCAAACAGCACTTATTCCTAATGTTTAAGTCGCAACCTAGTCCTCCTAGCTTCAGGATCCCGGGTGACGTGCGCTGTACTCGTGAAAGTTACATCCACTGACAAGAGTGTCAGCCTAAACACAGTTCTGGGGTCTGACTCAGGAACGGGAAAGAATGAATGGGGAGGAAAGGCCGGCCCTATCATTGGGCGGAGAAAGGAGACCGCCTCAGGGGGCAGGTGCGGAGGGCGGCCACCTCTGCTTCCTAGAGCTTCCTTCCGAAGGCCCCCCTCCGTGTTGCTCTCTGTTGGAGGACCAAGCTGTGCAAGCGACATGGGCCAGCCCAGCGTCCCTAAAATAGTCTGCTGCCTTCGGGTTGTCAGGAGGATGCTATTTCCGTTGCTGGCACTGAAGTCAGCTCAGCTGGAGTGGGGAGGGGCGCCATCTTGTCCTTCGCCTCAGGCAGCAAAACGGCTTGGACCAGCCCTGAGGTCAACGAGGGCCCCTAGGTCACGAAGAAGAGGCCGCAGCTCAGCGGGAAAACATCTGCTTTGCAGGCAGGTGGTCCCAGGTTCAAGTCCCTGTGTCCCCAGGTACGGCTGGGAGAGAGTACTGCCTGGAACCCTGAAGAACTGCTGCCCAGTTTGTTTTGGCAATAGAGCCATTTTGTTGCTCGGGTCTATGGGGTTCGCTCCTCTTCCCCGCCTAGGGAAGTCCCAGCCCCGAATCATTCACAAAGCACCCCTTGGGTGCAGCCATCTTTCCAAACCCACAAAACCACTAGGGCCTCTTCGTGAAGTTCCTAGTTGCCCACCATCCAGAGTCTACCATCCACACATGTACCCCTGATGCGAAATGTTCTGACCATCCGCGCATCTCCAAGCTCATTTTTCCTCCATGCACCCACCCCTTTCCCCCTTCCTCCTCTCCCCACACGTCCCTCTTTAAACCACCCATCCATCTCCTGCAGCACCCGCCCACTATTCATCCATCCGTCCACAGAGATCTTCAAATATGCCCATCGCTCCATCCACCTGCCCATCACCAACCTGTCCAAAGACAGCACTTAACTATTCATCTAAGCCATCTGCCCGTCCATCCATCCATCCGTGCAGATTATTTATCTATGCATCCGCCTGTGCCTCCCTCTCTCCTTCCTTCCCTGCATCTTCTCTCCCTCTTGTTCTCACTCCCTGCCCCCCCCACAACACACACACTCCTGGTGTCTCTGTTCTACATTCCCCTCAGGTCCTGCTCCCCAGCCTGCCCTGCAGACGAGAGAGGACAGATGATGGATGGAGTGAGAAATGGACAGACGGACAGATAAACGCAGTTGCAAGGAAGGGCAGAATGAGACAGAGATACCGCCTCGTCCAGTTTTGTGTAGGGAGATATATATATATATATACGTACACTCTGGGGTTAATTCGTTGTCGTCCCCCGACAACCTACCCAGTGGGATCTAGTGGTGGAAATGGGCAGGAGGAGCTGGGGGCCAGGAAAACTTGATGGCTCCTTGGCAAAATATTTCAGCCACGTTTGCCTCTGTGCTTAAAACCTCTGCCATCATTGACTTGGGCCACCAAGGAAGCCCTGAGGCCTTGTCCTCTTTCTTCTAGGACCCTTGGCCACGCTAGGGGGATAATAGCAGGGCAGTCGGGGTACCCTCTTCACTTAACCCTCTGCAATATTTTGCCTGGCTACCTGCCTGCCTTCCCAGTCCTTGGTTTCGAGAGGGTGGGGGACAGATGCCAGGACCCAGAACTGCCTGGAAGGAGCATCCTCTGACCTGGAAGCTCTCATCCTCAGCCCTTGAAGACTCTCTGACCCCAGGAGCCTGCAGCAGTCGCTCGCTGCCAAAGGAAGCGGTGAGGAGGGCCACCGACTTGGACGGCTTTCAAAGAGGATTGGGCAAATCTGTGGGAGGATTCGGCTATCGACAGCTACGAGCCATAGCGGCTGTCTTCTGCAGCATATTTCTCCCTCCCTCAGTTTTGTTGCTCCTTCTTCCGCAACCTGGGAGCTTCCAGACTGTCACTGCTTTCAAGCGGGATTCAACCACATACTAGCAAATTTAGGCTGCATGCTTAAAGTTGACTTGGCCCTCTTGTACTCAAAACCCTGTAGATACAGTATATATATCCTGCCGTGAGCTGCCCTAAGATCTTCGGATGAAGGGCAGAATACAAATTTAACCAAGAAAGAAATAAGAAACCCACTTTCCCCAAAAGATCCAACTTTTCATGACACGGAAAGTGCAGGGGTAACACTGGTTTTGGCGCAAAATCATCTAACCTCCCCGGAAACAAACTGGGGTGAACGCTCACTAAATGGCCAACGTTGCCTTGCTTCCCCGTGAACAAAAGAGGACGAAATGTGCAGTGCACAGGTCGTCCGGAAGCCCCCGGGTCTCCCCATCTTTTCGTATTTCTTTCGCTCAGCCGGCATCTGCATTCTCTGCCTTTCTCACAGTTTCTTTCCCCCTCCTCTCTCTCGCCTTCCTTGTTAGCGGTTTCCCTCTGAGGCCTTCGTTCAACCCAATTAACCTGCGGGGCAGTTGGGCCCAACTGCGGCCTGACCTGCTTTAACCTTTCGAGCGTGATCCAGAAATGCAGTTAATAAATTTTGTCTTTCCTTTTTAAAAAAAAAACCCCGCCTTGCCCTCCAGTGGCGCCCTCTGTTGAAACTGGCACGAAGATCTGGTCCCCAGGTCCTCCTCCCTCCTCCTCGTCCTCGTCCTCCTCACCATAGCGGGGCCTAATCGCTGTAATTCATTCAGTGCGACAACTGATTCAGTCACTTGGCTTCTCCTTATTGATCGGAAATGAAGATAAACAGCGAGGAAATGAGCAAGGGGGGGAGGGGGATGGGAGGCTGGGAGCGCGTGTCCAGCAGGTGCTTCCTCAAGAAGCAGCCCGCCCCGGATTTAATTTGAGATGGTGGCAGAGGGAGGGAAAAGCCTGGGCTTTACTCCTGCTGAGCAGGCACTCTCTCAGGCCTCGGCCCCCGTTTTCAGTAGCCAAATGCAGCCCTGGGCAATACAGGCCGTGCGGCTCAGTGGCAGAACATCAGCTTTGCACGCAGAAACTCCCAAGTTCGATCCCAGCCTGGGGGTGTCTCCCTGCCTGACACCCTGGAGACCCTCTGCTGCCAGTCAGTGCAGGCAAAACTGCACTCGGTGGGCCGACGGTCTGGCTCAACGTAAGGCAGCTCGCTGCGGTCCTGTAAGCAACTTGTTCGGTTCAGGCACCCACCCAACAGCCGCTGCCTCTCTCAACTGCTTTTGGTAATGTAGATAAGGGGTCAGCTACCTTTTTCAGCTGTGGGCCGGTCCACTGTCCCTCAGACCATGTGGTGGGCTGGACTAAATTTTTGGGGGAAAAAATTGAACAAATTTCTATGCCTCACAAATAACCCAGAGATGCATTTTGAATAAGAGGACACATTCTACTCATGTAAAAACACGCTGATTCCCGGACCGTCTGCGGGCTGGATTGAGAAGGCCAATGGGCCGCATCCGGCCCCTGGGCCTTAGGTTGCCTACCCCGGTGTAGATTATACCATCGTAGAGTTGGGAGGGACCCTGTGGGTCATCTAGTCCAACCCCCTGCAATGCAGCCGTCTCATGCGAGGATTTGAACCTTCAGCCTTGGCATTATCAGACCAAGGGATTGTGCTGGAAGAGCATCTGCTTTGCAGGCAGAAGGTCATAGGTGAAATCCCCGATGGCATCACCAAGGAGGGCTGGGAGAGACACCTGTCTGCAGCCTTGGAGAAATGCTGCCAGTCAGTGCAGGCAATACTAGATAGACCAGTGGTGTGACTCTAGCGCAAGACAGCTTTCTATTCTCCTATAATTCCAAGGCACCAAAGTCAAGTTTCCTTCCCTGCCCTCAGAGGAGCCCCAAGTCATCCCCTGCTTCCTGCAACTGGAGACCAAGAGTGAAAAACTCGACCCTGGAGGGCCTCTGAACATGTACAGAGTTCTCTCCCTTCACCTGTGAGTTGCCACAAAAAATCTCTGTGTGTTCCAAGCTACAAGGGTGTGACTACAAGGGGAGGTATCGTTCCTTTCAGAGACTGATCTCTTTCACGGGCCTAAAACTAGGTGAGGCCTGGCTCAAACTTGCCCGACTTTTCATGCCCCATCTCACGTCTTTCTCTCAGTTTTGTGGGCTGGCTTGCCCCATTCTGCCCACTGACCCTGCGGACAACTATGGTGTTCACAACGCTATTTCCCAGAAGCCTCTGCGGCCTTGCAAGACGCTGCAGGGCGAAACCCTGCAACCTCATTGCGGTGTGATCGTTTTGAGACCAAGCCCTGTGGAGAAGGAGGAGTATGCTGAATTATCTTTCCCCAAGGGACAACTTATGTGGCTTTCCCAATATGGTTGGGCTCCGAAATCCAGCCGTCCCTAGCCAGCAGGCCAATTGATGGTGGGGGATTGTGGAAGCTGAAGCCCAGGAGGGGGTGGGCACCAGGAAATGGCTTGAACTTTGAGACTTTTGCATTTTTAAAAAAGTGCTCTGGCGCGGAGATACAGTCCTTTTGCCGTACAACCTAGAGGGTCTCCCTGTTCCCCCACCAGCAACCCTTGCTCTAAGAAGCGGCGGTTTCCTCCCAAGTATTTTAAAAGGGTGTCAGAAAGTAGACGGAGAGTATGCCGTATCTGCTGAGGGCGAGGATAAGAAGAAACAATTTTAAATTACAGGAAGGCGCATTTAAGATCGGAGAGATCTGAGGGCTGGGGAGAGGCAGGATGGAAAAGCCCCCCCTTTCTAATTTCAAAAGCAGATCAGCGTGGAGCAACCGACTTGGGGAGGGCAGGCGGGGAGAGATAGGATTTTCACCGTTGCAGGGTTCTCAAGAAGTCAGCAAGGCGCAAAAGCTCAGGTCTAAGCTTCTAGTCAGCACCGCATTTTCCCAGAGGCAACTTGCCCTGTCCCACAACAACGACATCTCCTCCCTTTGCTTTTCCCTCAGTGTGACCGATTCAGCCCAAAAGTTGCCTGAGCACCAGCCTCAGGTATCCATTTACAAAAAGTAGGACTTGATTCCTTTCCTATCCCCTTCCAAATTTCCCGTTGTCTGTAATTTGAATGAAAAGACCCGGCTCTCTTCACTCCTTTGCCCCGCATTAGTTGCATTCACACATGCAGGCACTTATCCCGCCTATCAGGCACCTAGCTCAGTCGGCAGAACATGAGACTCATAATCTCAGGGTTGTGGATTCAAGTCCCATGTCAGGCAAAAGATTCCTGCATCACAGAGGGTTGGACTAGATGACCCTCGCGCCCCTTTCTTCCAATTCCACGATTCTATGATTATATCACACAAATAACTCGAGAGGGTCTCAGAGGATCTGCCGTCGCGCGTGAAAAGACACGCCGATTCCACTTTTTGTTCCCTGAACCTGGCTAACAAACCCAGAGTAATGACCATTTGCAGGTTGCTACCACAGGTCAGAATTAGCTCCGGCAAAACACACATTTCAAGGGCGTCTGGGGTGTGTGTGGTAGCAGCACCCATTTCCCACCGGAAAAAGGAGGCTAATGAAATAAACATGCTAGGAAGCTGCAGGAGTTTCGTTTCCTACTTTTTACATTTCCCCAGGCAGGCATCTTAAGACAGATGTCCGAAAGCAACCCCAAGCTGCATTAAAAAATAATAAAAAAAGTTAGCTTACAAGTGGGTCAAGTCAAATACATCTAAACTCCCTCCACGGGAGCCAAAAGCTGACCAGCCAACCACAAATCTGGGCAGTCAAACAGGCGCAGAGGCAGACCGTTGTAAAGTTTCCGTTTCATAAATTTTGGAAGGCTTCCCAAGATGTGTGCGATGTCCAGAGCCAGCCTCAGATATTTTGCCACCTGAGGCAAAACAGCTAAGCTGCTTCTCTCCCGCCCAGGCCTGGCAAGATTCAGGCCGGCAGATCCAAAATGGCGCTTAGTTCCTGCCGCCGAGCCGCTAAAATTATACCGCTGAGGGGGTACGTTTGGGACGGAAATTGCCCCAAAAAGACAAGCCCTCAAATTGTGTCCGGGTTCTGCCGCCTGAGGCGATGACTTTTGATCTGGCCCAGCCCAGGACAAACAGAAAGAAAACACGGAAATCGCTGCCTGGGATTCCTTTAGCAACACAAACCTCTTTTCGTTTGCACAACTGGGGTGGTTCAAACAACAGTATTCTTCACATACCACCCCCCCCCAAAAAAAACAACAATTTTCAATGTGCTTTTATATGAAGTGGCAGCTGTTATCTGTGTCAATGATTGAAGAAAGGGATGACAGAATAGTCAATACATAATAAATATTAGCGATTTTGCGTATGAGAATATATTTGAGGAAGCTGCCTCCTACCGAATGAAACTTATTTGTCCACTTTATCATGTTTAGCCTCCTCTGACTGGCCACGATCCACCATCTTGTTATTATTAAATTTATTATGATTATGTAACTGGAGACATCAGGGATCGAACCTTGGACCTTCTCCATGCAAAGCGAATGCTCTGCCAGTGAGCTACAAATCCCCGTTTTGCGGGGTTAAAGGAAAGCACTCGCATGCTCAAATGTACTAGGAGGTTTGAACTTTTGTGGGTACAATAGCTGGTTGTGGCTAATGACGGTTGAGGGGAAAGGCACTCTGCCAATGCTCAGAGCACATGCTGCCTTTTTATTATTTCCCAGCGTCCCAAGGCTAGATCCCAGCACTCCAAAATATCTCAAGCATTAAGACCAGGTAATAATTCAAATTTTTGTTTGTTTAACAAGGATGCTGACAGCACCTTTTAGTCCTGGAATCTGTCACTTGCAAATTTTGTGAATGTGGCCCAGAAAGCAGCAAACAGGCAATTATGATGTTTCTTGTGATCAAATGTACATTCTTGTTTTCGCTTAACTTACTACAGATCTGGGAAGTGTTAAGACACCGGCTTGTTTTTGTTTTTAAAAAGGAGACAACACGGAAATGTGGATTCTAATAGGCATCAGGGAGTGTGATTATGGGATCAGGGGGTGGTACTTATTCCGGATTAATTAATCCAGATTGAAAGACTGATCAATCTGATATACACCCGCATCTCCGTTAAGTGATTTTGAGCCTGCGCACCCGCAGATAGTGTTAACCCTGCCTCCCTGTCCTTCAGAGAGTTGCCAACTGCTTCCCTGTTCCCCAGCTGCTGTGTTTTTGACGTTAGCCCATTGCTCAGAACCATAGCCCGCTAAAAAGCCTTTTTTCTGGCTTGGAGATCAGGAGATGAGAAAAGCTTTACCCTGCCTAATTTCTCCTCAGATTAGGCTGCCGTTAAAAGCCCAAGGGGCAAGAGCAGTATGATATAGGTGGCAACTCTTCTAGGACATAAGGAAAGATGAACCTAAAAGACTAGGTCCCTGTTCATTCATGCCCCACTGATTTAAAAGTGCTTGCATTTTTTCTTTTTTTTTAATGCAAAAAGCAAAAAAGGGGGGTCAGAGACATATATAAGTATCTCATTTATTACTTCGCTGTTTAAATGCCAATTTGCAGTAGCCTCTGTAACTGTAAATCTTGTATCCCAGATTTCCTAGATGCCATTAAAATAAATCAGGGGCTCCGAATGAGGCCCTAAGCTGGGACCAAGGCTGCTTGTGTTTGTTTTAATTCCCTGCTGCTTCCTCCTGAAAGTGATGCCCTCCTCCCCAGCCCACTCCACCCCATCCCTTCCTTCATTTATTCCTTCTCCCCCTCCAGGCAGGCTCTGTCTCTTTCCTCCCTCTCCCCTCCCCTCCTGCCCAAATCTAAGCGGATTTTTTAGGATTAGTTATTCCCAGACCCTGGGAGAATAAACCCAGCAAATCTTATTTCGCCTCGTCAGAAAATTGACTCCAAGAGAAAGCGGGTGGGGGGTGGGGATAATGCAGCCCTTAGTTGTGGGGAGGGAAATATAATGAGGAGGGGGCATGATGGACCTGCGGTGGGGTGGGGGGGCAGATCCCCCCTGAAACTAGAAGTCAAAAAAGATATTGGGTGGGTTTTGGGGGTTTTTTTTGAGAAGCCACAAGCGAATTTGGTTAGAGTCACACTGGGTGTAGGTAATGTTGGGGGTGGCTGGGCCTCTGAAGTGCAGTTGGACAGGGTGGTCTTCTGAGGGACCCTTGTACCCCAGTTTTATGATTCAGTGTGTTCCCAAAAATGAAAAACATTTCAGTAGGTAGAGTGGGGCCAGAGTTAGGTCCGAAATGGAGACCTTGAACTACTGATCAGGACCAAAGCTGGGATTTATTTATTTATTTGCGGTTTTGTGGGGAGAGGGAATCGGGTCTGAAATTGAATCTGAGGAGCAATAATAGTAAGGGGGAGGCCAGAACACCAGGGGCTTGTCGTGGGAGGAAGAGGTCAAGGGCCCTGGGGAGTGAGCATGGCGACAGGTAATCCAGGAAGGAATAGCATTCATTTAAAGATCAGGGGGCAGCTTTCGGGGGCTGTGGGTCAGGAGGACCAAGGTGCATTGAGGAATGCAGAGGATTATTGGGGGGGGGGGAATAATGGGCTGAGACGGGAGACTGAGGGCAGAGCCACCCCAAATCTATAGCCACCCCATAGCCCTTGTGGGGTACCTACGACACTTGAAGAGGGGGTGAGCTGATGCATAAATCAATCTGGGGAGGGGGGCTGTCATAAAATGCCTTGTGGGGGGTCTCTCCAGATGTGGGGGGGCTGTGGGTCAGGTTTCAGCGACCCTCACCATAGCCCTCCCTCTCCTGGGAATCCTTGTGGGGCGGGAGGCTGAGGTGGTGGGGGTCCTGATTTATCTCCATCTCCCCCCCTCCCTCGGTCATGCCAGCAGGTGTCCCCCCCCCTCTCTTTTTCCAGCCTCCCAATGCCCCCCGCAATCCTTTCCCCCGCGCTGCAGTCTTAAGACTCCCGGGGTAGATTTACAACCCAGGGCTGCGTGAGTGAAATTCCTAATGAGGCGCCTCGGAATCGCGGAATGAGACAGGCAGAAAGAAAGAAAGAGGGGAAGAGAAAACGGGGGGTGGGGGTGAGGAAAGAGAGAGAGAAGGAGGGAGAGAAAGGCGAGAGCGCGTCTGTTTGGGGAAAGGGGGGGGGGTCCCTCGCCGTCCCAGCCTCCCCTCCCAGACGGGAATCCCGCCAGCCACAACATTTGTCACAATCAATACGGAATTCTCTCCGGAACGAAGGAACGAAAAAGCCCGGCGGACGGATGAGTGCGGGCGCCGCTGGCTCCCCATCGCTTTCCCCCCTCCTCGCTCCCGTCACGTCCCTAATCAAACTTTGATCCCCGACTCCCCCCCGGGAATAGGAGGGGGGAAACACACACACACACACACACACACACACACACACACACACACACAGCTGGGGCTGGAAAGAAGGAATGAGAAAGTGGGAGGGACGGAGAAGTGCAGGATGGAACCGCCCCCCCACCCCAAATAGAATTCTACATATTTTGCCTTTTTATCAATTAGTGATTCCCGCGCTCCTCCCATGCCCTGGAGCCAGGTCTAGAAACAGCCCCCTCCCCAAATATTATTATTATTATTAATAATAATAATATAACATTTGGGGGGGGGGAATGGATAAAGATGGGGAAACTGAGCTCTTGTAGGGAAGTGGGGTGGGTTGTGGGGTTCGCCCGCACTCCGTCCCCCCCCCACGCCACCCCCACATTTTACCACCCCCCTCTTCTTGTGGGTACCCTCTGGGGGCTCCACCCCTCTATCCTTCTTCTCCCTCTGCCTTCCCCCACCCCAAAAGTGAAGGGAACCTACCTGAGTCGCTGGGAGTCCGGGAAGAGGGGTTAAGGAAGGAGGGAACGAGACACAGATGTAGAAGGAAGGGGGGGAAGAGAGGGAGAGAGAGAAAGAGGAGGGAGGTAGAAGAGAAGAGAGAAAGAGAGAGAGAGAAGCAAAGGGCGAGAAGGAAGACGGGAGCGCAGCAGGACCAGCGACAGAGAGATGCAGGGATGCTCCTTCTGCAGAGATGCTCGTCTGATCCTCCCCCCCTCCCTCCCTCGTCTTTCTCAGCTACTACTCACGCTCCCCCCTCCCGCCAGGGTGGTCTGAGCAGAGGGAGAGAAATAATGGAGAGGAAGAGATAAGAGCCCCCCCCCCCCGAAAAAAACAACTGAAAAGCGCGACCCCCCTCTGCCTGGCACTGCGACAATGTCTGCCCCCAAATCCTGACCCACAGAAACCCCCGACAGCCGTGCCACTGTCCCAGTCCTGGACCCCTAGAAGCCTTCGACCAGGACTCCCCCCACCCCAATTTTCTGAACTCTCTTCAACCCCCACCCCAATAGAGGCGTCCCTCCTGGTCTAAAAGGTGACTCTCTACCCCCCCCCCCCAAGAATTGGGGGTCCTCTGTCCTGACTTGAAGACCCCTCCTCAGAATTGCTGGTATCCTTCCACTCTACTCCCCCCCCCGAAAAAAAATCTCCTTTCCTGTCCCGGCACAAATCTAATTATTTATTTCATTCCCCCACTGGCTACTTCTCAATTCTTGCTACCCTCCACCCCACTCTTAAACTCTGCTGCCCCCCAATTGTCTCTCAGAACCCCCCCCCAAAAGAACCCCACAAACAGAGTGCCTGGTCCATAATTTATAGCCAACCTTCAACTTTGCCCCCCACCCCAATATCTCACTCTACAGGACTAGGTTCACCTCTACTTCTGACCCATGGAGACCGCTAATCCCCACATCAATTAACCTAGCCTTAGTCCAGACCCATCATTTGGGACTTAATCCAGCATTCTTTACAATACATTTTTCAATTCTGCCCTAAAACTGCCCCCAATGCCTGCTGAGCACCCCACAACCAGCATCTATAGGCCAGCTCTGCTGAAAACCAGCTCAAAATCCCATGCCACACAAACCCCATTTTTGACGTACTGAGGGGCCAGCCTCCAAATATAATGTTCCCCTGACTTGACACCACAGACTTCCAACGTGTGCTTCTCTTGAGCCAGGCTTAGCCCCAGAATCCGTTTTCAACGTCCAGGAAAATGGGAACAAGCTGGACAAGAGTGCCTCTGAGCATGTGCAGAGTGTGTTCGGCTTTCCTCGCTAGGTAACAACCCCCAGACATAACATGTGGAGAGGTAAGCGGAGAGGGGGCTTCCGTGGCAAGACGGAAGACCCCCTCCCCAGGTGGCCTTGAGCCCCAGCACCTCTCCATTTGGAGATCAATCGAATAGAGGACAAGGTGTCTTGAACCCGAGCCCTGCACCCAAGTCTTTAGCTCTGCCTCCCAGCTCTGCCCCCAGCCTCTTCCCTCAGCCAGAATACCCCACCTGCTGCGTGCGAACCCCCCCACCCCACCCGAAATGAATTGTTTGGCTGCAATTGCATTTTAATGAGCTCTTGAATATTTTAAGGGACTGGGAGAGGTGAGGGAGGCAGAAATTTGGCCTATTTGGGAGGGAGCGAGAGCCAAGGAAAAATGGCGGGGAGTTGGGAAGGGGGTGGGCACCCGTGATGCTTGTGAACACCCCACCCGACCCCCACCCTCTCTCGCAGCCAGGATCTTGGA